TACATTTCCCTTACGTCAGGTGGGATTAAAGAAGTCCGCACAAGAGCTATGATGTCGTGATACAACTCGACGCCCTGAGCAGCTAGTGGAACGGCACTCGGATTTTTTCTGGCCTCTTCACAGCCCAGTAGAATGTCCATGAAGTACACAGATAGCAAGTCGTATTTTAAAAGTTCATCCACTATGGGCCCTGCGGCCTGGCTGCATCCGTGATTGATCAGTTCTTTCCACACGTTAAAGTAAGGCTGGCAACTTACAGTGCGCAGCGCAGCCGCCATATGAGAAGCCAGGTGTTGTGCAAAACGGAGTCGAATGCAGGCCTCCGTAAATATCAATGGCCGTGGTTGAAAAGAAGCGATCTCTGTCGTTGGAAGATTCGGTTCAAACAAGAATGCTAATGTATCGGATATGATAAAACTTGTCGACATGTGACGGATAATCGCCAGAACCATTTCCTCGTCTAATACGGCAGCAATGGCCTCCGTCGTTGTGACAGAACTAACATCAAAGGCACCCAAAATAATGCGCCGAAAACACTGAGCAACCAGTGGGGTCAGCGGCGCAGCAATTCCAAGGACGAGAAGTGCAGCAGCCACAATGCGTCTGATAAACACCTCCGACTCTTGGGAAACATCTAAATAAAACGTAATCAATTCAGTGGCATTCTCGTTAAACAATACCTGCTTCTTTCCTGGGGTTTTCTTCTTCGGGCCATGGCCGTCTGCATCACCCTCCTTTCCCACTGAACCAACACACTCCTCTTCGCAAACAGGTTGTAGTGCCGCTTTGACAAGTTCGGGGATGGAGTGCTCTATGAACTCTAAAAGAGGCACCATGCCCTTCCCATTCTTGCGCTGTGACTGAATGTACGATGATAAATCCTCGCGTGCAATAATTTCTTCCACCGTCGTTGATGAAGAGGAGCACAACTTTCCAATGCCATCGAGGCTTGAACCAAAAAGGTTACTGAGCATGACAGTTATGTTTCCTTCCTCTTCGGAAGAGCAATATAACTCAAATACTGAGGTCTTGCAACCAAAAATCCGTTAATGGGCTGGTGGGTCCTCTCTCACTCTCGGTCGCGCTCTCCCCCAACGTATACGTGCCCTTTCAGTTCCTTGGGTAAAGCGCGCGGCAAAAAATAAATAAATAAATAAATAAATAAATAATAACAAAAATAAAAAAATAGAAAAAAAAAAAAAAATGATGGACAGAAAAAAAGGCGCCGGTATTGCAAGTATATACATGTGTGGGTGCAACCAGGAATAAAGAGGGATAAATTTCCAAGGAGAAAATATTTTACACACCTCCATATGCCCCTGGCGCAAAAGCAGCTGCCCTCACATCTCTGCGGGAATAGAAAAAAAAAAAAAAAAAAAAGAGGCTCGGTAAAAACGCAGAGTCACATCCCCCAAAATCCTCTTCAAAAAACACAAAATAAAATCCCAATAAATAAAATCTAACCATTTTTATTAAAGGCAAAAGAGAAAAATAAAAATAAAAAAAAGAAACGCACACATTCATAAAAAGAAGAAAGAATAAAAAAAAGTGAGAGAGAGCGAGAAAGAGAAAGCAACAACCAAGTAAATGCATGCGTTGATCACCTACCACCACCCTCTTTGCACGGCAGTTGTTCGTGGTGCGGCACCCACATGGCGCCTGTCATGTGTATTTTGCCAAAAACCCTGCATGATGGTGGCAGGAGAAGAGCCCTGAAAGGGCCTCGCATTCGAGGAGAGGTGGCTGCCGTTAAAAACTGGATAGTGACCTGCTGCTCGGGAAGGATCCCATGGAGTAAGGCGGTTTACCGCTGATGAAACCCACTCTGGAGGCCACCCCTGAGCAAAAGGAGCGGCAGCCGAAGGAAAAACCGTCGAATGCAAAGGCTGTTGCGCATCCAAACATGGGCTGTGATGAGAAAACGCTCCAGCAACGGAGCCTCGGAACCACGGTGCAGAATGTCCGTGCAATAAGCCTGCACCGCCTTGGGGATATCGCTGTTGGGAATGAAAACCACGCCAAGAAGGGGATTGCTGTTGCGCTGAAGGGAAATGCGGCCTCCCACAAGAATCATACAATCCAGTGGGCATCTCGCGTACGTTCCTCGCAAACGGTCCTGCACGCTCCAGGATTCGAAAGGAGGGTTCAGGCAATCTTTCCTGTGCCGGGGGAAACTGCACACCAAAGCGGAATCGTGCAGATGGTCGTGTTTCCGCGGCATCAACGCGCGAAACAGCAACAGGATCCGGAGAAATGGTTTGGGGAAGAATAACAGATGCCCCCTGATGTGAAACAGAAGAGTTTCTTTCCCGTGGTTTTGTGAATGGAGTCCTCAGGGAATCAAAAGAAACACTTTGTTTTGTGCGGTTTTCATCTCTTGATCGTTTGCATGGATAGTCAGGAGAATGTCGTCTAAAATCCAACTGGGAAGCAAAAAAATTTGTACGCCTCACCAGCTGCCTGTAGCTCTCATCCTCTTCTCTTACGGTGGTCTCCACACCACTGCGTAGATGAGTCCGTTTAGCAGCCTCTGTGCTGCTGTAATCCACCATGGCACTGGCTTTACAAGACAAAGATTTCTCTGAAGTGGCCTTGCCGACGGGATGCTTATCCAAAAACGCGGCGTCTGTCAATGACTCTGTTTTATTCTCATCATTGGTTTCACGTTTCGTTGGGGAAAGATGCGGTACTTCAGTTGGATCTCTGGAAGAAGTGCCCTCCACATGTCGAAGGTCATGGAGAAGTGCATCGAACGGTGGAGTACTAATTGTACCGCTCTTTGATTGCGCCACTCCCTTGTCGGCGACATCCTCGTGTTTCTCCTCCGTGTTTTCGCCCGCGTTAAATGTGTTATGGGCATCATTTCCAAACAAATACCGCTCCGTAAAGACTTGACCCACAACGCGTCCTTGAGAACCGCGCGGGAAACAAAAAGTGAACATCACCTTCCCCTCTTTTGCATCACACAAAGAGAATTGTCGAAAGAGGAGTATCGCGTCTGTTCTGACGTTGCCCACAACGGCAACCATGCGGTAATTGACTTCATTCTCGCGTTTCTTGCGTGGCGGAGTCGTCAGTGTTATAACTGCCCGTAGCGACTCAGAACCCTCACAAGGCTCAAGGCAAAGCACGCACTGCGGTATTGCCCGACACCGATCCTGCAAATTGTTGCCAAAGGGGATGTTCTTGCCACAGAGGACCTCCAACTTCCGTGGATCCGACTTTAAAACGTCGGCGAAATCCCGGATCCCGCCCCGCAAAAGTGCCTTGGCCGCAATTTCACCGACACCATCCAATTGCCTCAAAACGGGACCATCCCACCACATCTTTTGCTCCATGCAACGCAACAGGAGGGAGCTCTCCTTCATAAAGGAGTAGGAGTTCATGGCACTTGCGTAGTCGACGAGAAAGCGAGCCAATCGAGGCGCTGTTGTCCAAAGTCTGACAGAATCGTTTCGCAGAGAAAAATCACTGATCGGCATGTGCTCCAGATGGGCCTGGAGAAGCACGTACACCTTATGCCAATCCTCGCGGACTTCCCTTCCGCCTCGCATGCCGGATTTCAGTGGATAACGGATGTTCTTATTGATCTCATTCAGATGTTTCCGATCCCCTTGACGAAGATAAAGCTCTTCGAACTCCGCGGCTCGGCTAAGAATGCCAAGAATTTGCGGCAATGTGAAAATGACGGGTGCCCCCGTCATTTTTTCCAGTGTGTTGCTCTCTTGTGGGGGCTTCAAGGCCTTCTCTCCGGGGACTCCCAGCGAAGCGTCGGATCCTAGACGGGAATTTTTTGTCTCGGCGTGAAACTGTTCCACCGTCTTCAGCAAAACATATCGCCTTGCCATGGCTCGGCCAATACGTGTACTCTCCACAACACATTTCACGTTCTCCTTGTGAAAATCTTGAAAATCATCATCGACACCACCGCCCGCCTCATAAACACGACTCTCTCCACTAGGAGCATTTTCGTAGCGGATGGTAACGCACCCCTGCCGTTCTAATTCTGTAAGCATGCGGTGCATGAGCCTCGCTGCAAACTGCTCACGGTTAAAAGAAGACTCCTCTTCTTTAGTAGAAAAAAGAATGCCATAATTACGCGGGCAACGTCTCAGTCGAATCCACAAAAACGTCGTCTTAATCCATTCCACGCCGAGACTGAAGCTGTGAATGGTGCGCAAAGCCACCTCTGCGTTCACGTGTTCGATCATCTTCTGATGCAACTGGCTCTCCACTGTGGAAGAGGAGTCACCGTGTCGAAGAGGCTCGTAGAGAGCGGCTTTGGCATCAGTTGTGAGAACAAGTGCGATGCCGTGGGAGTCAAGACCGGGACGCCCCGCTCGTCCACTCATTTGTGCCACCTCAGAAAGTGGCAGATCCTCCCGACGACCACTCTTAAAAAAAGTTGTGCCTTTGATGATCACGAGGTGGGCGGGAAGGTTGACACCAAGAGCGAGTGTCGTGGTCGTGCAAATCACAGAGATGTAATGTTCTCTAAACATGCGCTCCACGAGAACGCGGTCATTCATCGACATCGCCGCATGATGATAAGCAATTCCAAGCAACAGAAGGCCTCGTAACTGCTTGTCATTTGCCAACGATGCCAGCCGTTCAACTTCTTCAGTCAGCCGCAGACGATCCTCGGCACCTTCTCTTGAGGCCGTCTCCTTCACATCCGCCACAACCCTCAATGATGAATTAATCGCCTCATTGCGTGAGGCGCAAAAAACGATGCTTGGTCTGCCCGCGCTGAATTGTCGTATGAGACCAAACAGCTTAAATGAAAGAAAACGATCGAACGCAAAGGGATTGTTGGAGGTGCTTGGGTACGACAGAATTCGTAATGTCAGCGGCACAGGTCTGTCTGCGGAGGTGAAGGAGAAAGCACCACCAGGCTCCACTTGAAGCCATTCCGCAAAGTCCTCAATGTTGGGAAGCGTACCACTGGTGGCAACAAACCGAGTGGAATAGAAACGAGGTCCACGACTACTCATGGAAGCCTTAATGGCTTTCATGCGACTCACAACCGCCTCCAATGCGGCCCCTCTTTCTTCGCTCACGGTGTGTACCTCGTCCAAAAGTAGCAGAGCAACTGATGCCACCAAACTCCAAATCACCCCTTCTTTCCACCTACGCGTGATGCTGTCCCATCGCTCTGGTGTTGTGATGATAATATCTGCATTGGGAACTTCGAGTAATCCACCCTCTTGCCCTCGTGACTGCTCTTGATCCCCTGTTTCAAGAGCCACAGAAAGAGTTGGAAACATTTCCCGCCATATTCCATACTTCTCGCTGGCAAGTGCCTTAATTGGGCATATGTATACAGCCTTCCTCTCCGATGCACCCTCGCAACCGACCGCGCTGCCGGCGTTTGAGGAGTTGGGAAGAAGACGGTCCCGAAAAAGGCGCAGCATCGCCACCTCCAAGAGGGCAGTCTTCCCGCTGCCAGTCGGTGCGGCTACGACGACGTTGGCATCGCACTGGAGTAGCGTCGGGATGACATTCTCCTGCACACGGGTAAAGTTCGGGTAGGGAAGGTAGGAGATGAGTGGTCCAAGACACTCACGTGCAGTTGACATCACAAGAAGACGTCCCTCCTCACCACACTTTTCCCCTGTCCCGAAAAAGACAACAGCCCTCCTTCTTCTTATTCTTCACGGAATGTACACATTCATTGCATGTTTTTCGGTAGAAAAAAAAAAAAAAGAAGCAAACAGAAAACAAAAATTCATTTTCATCAATAGCATAAACACTGCCTTCTCTTCACATTTAAAGCACTGGTGGATCGAAGTTCCGACCCATTTAAACAAAGGCTCCTCTTTTCTTTCGTCCGTTTGGGTTGACTTTATTTTCCCATCAAATTAAAAGAAAAAATAACCCACACACATGCCTCTCAAACATTGGAACAATGGCACCAGGTTTATTTGTGTGTTCATTCGACCACCACTGCCCACTCGGACCCCTCCGCCGGTCAACTGTTTTTACCTGGCAGCTTAAAAAGAAAAAAAAGGCGCGGCACTCCCTGATACCGGAATGGTGAAGCAAAGGAAAGTGCATGGTGCCAGCTGTTCGACGCCTCTTTTCCCCGCTTTCCGCACAGGGCAGCCCCGTTGAATCGCCCGCTCCAGCGCTGAAGTAGAGCACCATGCCAGCACCTACAATAAACATTCGTAATTGACGAGCGGAATCAATAAAGCAGTTGCAAAGGCCTGTTGTGCCACAGTCCATGCGTGCAAAATTGCAGCTTTAGGAATGATGCTTTTCGCGATGGCATCCTTCTTCTAAGTGTCAAGAATGTTAAAACTTGTGCAGCCTCCCACATGTTACACATGAAGTCCAATCGCACCTTCCACACGGCGGCAAAAAAATTCCTGTTTTTTTTTTCTTTTTTTTTTTTTTTTTCTATCAGGTTCCCGCAATACGCTTCGATGTGACTCAACCCCCAGTCCTTCTCCGTTTTGTTGTTGTTGCTGTGGCGAGAGTGTGTACACTTTGATGACGCTCCCTTCTTGGCGCGGCATCTTCTGCACCACCGCAGTCAGCAGCAGTGCGGCTTGCATGGCCTTGTCAACTTACTGGCACAATACATCAGCAGCATAACCATGCCGCAAGGTTGTAATAAATATTAAATCACAAAAGGCGTAAATAAATCGTTCTTTTTTGTTTAATAATTATTTATTTTGTCTGAAATTTACAAAGCAGTTAAGTCTTCACAAAAGACACCGAGAAGAATGCTCGTGACACTCTCTGATGAATAAAATGCAGTTAACGTGAGGAGTTAGACATTTGACGGCAACTCATAAATCCACCCGTGAAGCGACTTTTATTCGTCCCCGTTGCTGCTGGTCAAGAGTGCAATTCCAGTCAAAATTGAAATACAGGCCAAGACAACGGACAAAATGAAAATAAATAAATAAATATAAAAGAGAAATAAAAAAAAAAGGATGCGACCATGAACCAAATGCAGTACATTAATCAAACTCATTTCATAATTCGACCCCGATTGAAAAATAAGCAAAAAAACCTTTTTGAGAGTAGAGAATGCATAAATACACATGTGGATATGTACAGAAATGTACAAATGGTCCTCCCGCCAAAATTTGATAAGAAAATCGGGTAAAGGCAGAGAGAAGGCAATTGGCAAAAGTGTAGAAAAACATATATTATTATTATTATTATTTATCTCTTCTATTTTTGTTTTAATTTTTTCCGTCGCTGCCTCATTACAAGGTCCAGTAAACCTTTCCAGTGGCAGTTATGGCATGCAGAGCCTTGAGAACTTCCCCCTGAGAGGCGGTTGTCTCGAGGAGATTGAGAATGCCCTTTTCAGAAGGGAAACCCCCTGCCTCGTGCATTGACGCAACTGCACGAAGAGCGGCAACCCAAGAACAATGTTTCGTGGCGCCCAAAACATCATCGTAGACCACAGTTGGAAGTCGCACGCCATGCGCATGGGCCCGCTCCATCCAAAATAACGCACTTTTCCAGCGACCAGCGAGCACGGAAGACTCAATACAGAAACTTAGTTCTGCCTGCGTAAAGGCACCACAGTTAGAAAAGCAGGCCGCCATGGCTCGAGATGCAAGTAACCATTTTCCCTGCTTTGCCACATAAGAAGACAAGAGTGGAAAAACAGCAAACTGCTTGCGTACTACCATGGATGCCATGAAGTGTGTTGCAAGCTTCCAGTGTCCTGATTGGTCGGTGAGGGTGCGAGCCAAAACACAAGCATCATTCTCTGTCATCGTAAGAGGACAAACATATTCTTGTAGCTTCTCCCCAACATGTGAGGGAAGCACTGTTGGATCCTGAGCAATGATTATCTTCAGGAAAGAGTTGAAGTTCATCACGTTGGGCTTTTTAAAATAAAGTGCAGTCGCCAAGTCCACGAAATTGTCCGGTATAATTGGAGAATCCTTCACTTTGGAATTGGACGTTTTTAGCCAATTGGCAGCCAGTTCTCTACCGCATGGTGTATGCAGACACCTTAGCAGTACATCCACGGCAGAATCTGGTTCATGCAACAACATGTGATCGTAACATTCTTGTAACCGTTCTGCCCGACGGTCAGCAACCAAAGGAAGTATGACATGATACAAAAACTGTAATTTTTGACTTTTTAATGACCTTACATCGCCAGCAAAGTATTCTATACGACTCTTGTGACCCGCATTACCCATAACACTTGCCATAATCCGTGGAATTCGTGGCTGCCGCTCCTGCTCCACATACTCAGTGTATAGTTGTAAGGCTTCTTCCCAACAAAATTTGGCATTCACAGTGAGACAGCATGCATAGACAGCTGGGGTCCATTCAGCATAAAAAGGTTTTACAGCGTGATAGAGCGCCAGGCTGTCTTTCTCAACATGTCTACAGGCATCGAACAATGCTACTAACACTTCATCTGAGAGAAGAACCTCTCTCGCATGTGCCAGGTAGCATTGTACTGCTCGCTGCGTTTTCCCAGCCAACAGGAGCGTCTGTATCGCTGCATCCAAGTTCTTCTTGGTGAGGTATGCATAATGACTGCCCATCTGTGCTCCTTCTGTCACATTCAGCGCGGCCTCCCAAAGACCCTCTTGCTGTATAGCCTCATACAGGCAATACACCTCCGCCAGAGAGTACCTATTGAGACTTTCCGCCACTTCCATCGCAGAGGACTGAAGAAGATCCTTAACGGGTGGACGACGATGTTTTACCGGATTGAAACGACGGTGCGGAACACACGGATACTCGTACACAACATCCCCAGCAAACTTGCCAGCAATACTGCTACTGACAATTGTGTCTTTCTTCACAGAAGCGTTTTCCGTTACTTCCTCAGCATCTTTTCCTGAAAGTAACGCACATGGTATCGTGCAGTTCCGAGAGGCAGCCTCAGCTCTCCGTTTCGCATATGCGTCATCTCCTGTCAACAAGGAGACCGTCTTGTAGACGCTAGACCTCACCAAATCCCCACGTTTTGCCCAGAGCAGAGGGGAAGCAGATGCAACAATAAGAAGAATATCATCTAGCCCAAAAGGCAACATAATAATCGGCGCTCGCTTCACGAACACACATACACAGGACAATATCCCACACACCCTGCCCTGCAATTCCCCTATTCCCCAGCTTCTTGGCAAGAAAGGAGACCGTAATGCAAAGGGAAAGGGAAAAAAAGGCCAACAACAACAACAACGACACAAAACAAAAACAAGAAAAAAAAAGCCAAAAAATCCCATTTTCTCTCAATTCACTTTTGAATCCAATTTATGCAGCAATGCATTGTGCAGATGACATCACTCTTCCTTCGTTCCCACTCGACTTTTTACTTTGGAAGGTTTTTTTTTTCTCTGCAACAAATACAAAACTCAATTTATTTCTTTTGTGTGTGTTGATTTGATTTGATTTTTTACATCCCCCTCTGCTCCCACCGCTCTAGCGCTTTTCAGTTTCTCAGTTCATTTTTTGCCGTTCTAAATCACAACTTTCCTCTCGGCATCTTCACTATCTAGCACGACCGCACTCAAAGGTTTCTAATCGCAAACAGTACAAATACATACACACATACACACAGCCAATTCTCATCACCCACGCATCTGCAACCTTTCAGTTCGACACGAATCGAGGCCCATCCATGAGGTAAACTTCACCAATGCGGCCTCCAAACGTGACTTGAGGGTAACAACTACGTGTTGCATTCCACTGAGGGATCCGGCCATCATCAATTCGTTTCCCTTTTCCATCGTGAATGGAGAGCTTTGCGTGTTTAACGCTCGATTGTACTGTCACTCGGAGTATAAATATGTACCTAGTGTCACCACAGGTCACCACCCAAAGATGACTCAAATCGGGGGTGCGATTCGCCGACCACGACTTTAGGCCGCCCCCAACACCGACGCCAATGCCCACCCACTCACCGGGATCCTCCACCCGCAATGCCCACTGGAGACATTTCGGCTTCGTCCAAATGTTTTTCTTGCCATCGCCATGTGCAATAAGTTCATGAATGGGCACATCAAGTACGCACGTTCCACGGCATCCCGGAATGGCCACCCATTGAATCTGATGACGTCGCCGGACCGCACCACGACTCTCCTCTGACCCAAAATCCATGCCCTCATTGCGGTGCAAAATCGGTATCGATCGTCTTCGCGGTGATTCCTTAGGTATCCTGTGGCAACCGTTAGTGTTTTCCTTAAGGCCGTAATTTCTATATAAAGAAGGACGTGGTCTCGGTATTCCACTAGACGGCCTGCTCTCTAAGTGTGTATTCCTCTTCACCACTTGAGTTTGATCCTCCCAATCCTGCTGCTGCTGCTGCTGCTGCTGTTCTGGTTCAAATTCTCGCCATCCCATGCCCGTGACACCAAACGGAGAATGAGGACGACGCAATGTATTTCTCGGCGCCATCGGAGACAGAGAATGCACCTCCGCCATTGCGCCCTCTAGATTTGGTGTTAACTCTTTTGCCACAGCCGATAGCTTAAGAGACTCCATCGATATGGGCTTCGGAAACTCGTCCGAGGAATGTAATGCATTCGCCACGGTGGCAATTTGCATTGAATACAATGGCTTTGTAATTTCCGTTCGCAGGTGGTCAACAGCAGCCTTTAGCAAACGAACACGCTCGTCTTCGGTGAGAATCTCCCTTGCGACATTGCTCAAAGAGTATCCAAATGCGGCGTCGCAGTGCTCTAAAAACTCATTTCTTTTAGCATTAATAGCCGCCAGAAGTAAATCAAACTGCTGGTTAACAGCATCCTTCTTTTGTTTCGCAAATGAAACAATCCTCTGGTGCTGATTCACCCAATCCGCAGCACTTTGCTGCCTTTCTTGTACTTGCTGAGAAAGCCTCTCCAAAATTTGTCGTCGAGAATCGCCACCAAGAACCTCCGGGATAACAATAAGGTCCTCCACGTGGGACGCCTTCTTGGAAACACACAGGGCACACAGTAGCTCCTTGGAGAAAAGATCAAACAGCTGAAGCTCCTTATGGTGCACTGGACACTGAGGTTCGGATTGTGCCACGGAGTACGGAATCCAACGCACTGTCAGCATCGCAATTGGAAGCACAAACTTCAATGGGTCCTTAAAAATAATTGCGGACTTATCTAAAACAAAACAACTGGTAGCAGAGGAATTGATGTCGAAGATATGTTTCGCCTCGAGCTCCGTCTCAGCAAATAGCATGTTCCCAGGTGCGGCCTCGTAGAGAACGATGGGTGTGTCCAAATATTCAGGGGATTCGTCGCAACGCGCTCGTGATCCATCCGACTCCAAGAGCCGTAATTGTGGGTAAAAGTATTGATTAGGCAAAACTCCCTTTGTCACAACGAAAATGTTTTTATACGCCCTGAGACCTGGGGCCCGTTCGGGGTCTTTCTTCATCAGCCGAATACGATGCAGTTTTGTAACCTTGCCATAAAATTGCTGGGGCGAGAGAACGGAGAAAAACTGCTCCACAATGCGTTTTCGAACACTAGGGGAAAGCCTTCCTTCACTAACAGGCATATCCTTCGCTTCCTCAGAGATAGGAGATAAGATTAGAGCGCGTGCGTCCTTTTCAGTTTTCTGAGTCAACGTCAGTTCCAGAGCAGCCGGTGAAACTTCAGAACTCCTCTCATACTCAGTAACTCCTCTTCGGGTTCTTTGTTTTTCAGGGGTGGTGACATTTTTTTCGGCTACTAGGCTTGAAACAGAAGTTGCGTGGTGGCTTGCCGAGGTAACCGATTTATTTTTTTCATGGCCTCCCACCCCGTTCTCAAACTCTTTGGTTTCCTCCAGAGGCATTACATGAGAAGGGCTTGGCGAGGAGTGCAATGACGCTTGAGAGCATTGGCGTAACGTGCTGCCTCGAGCTCTTGCCGAGTCATCATCCTGAATAACAACTGGGTATACCAAAGCTTTTGGCTCTTCATTAAACCGCATCGAGGAACCTTTAGAAGGGGCAACGGTAATCCGTTCCGGAGACTCCTGTAACACCGGGGTTCCCACATGGTAGGAACCTTCTTCAACAACAAACTGAATTTCACTCTCACTATCACTGGCGTTCCGCGGGGCGTCTGGCCTCAGTTGTACCTCATCTATGTCACTCGCCTTGGTCTTACAAGACGAGAATGCGGGCGGTTTAGGTTTTGGGTCAGATACTTTAGGAGCGCTTAAGGGCTTTTTTTCTTGTGAGGAACTATGGCTATCACGTCTAGGAGAACTGGAGGGAGTCGGTGGTAACACCTGCGATAATTTTGCCGCTTGGTTTGGATTCAACGGTGGAGCAAAAGGTACAGACATCTTTGGCGGTGAATGTGCGGGTGGAGCGGTTACCGAGAGGCTCTTTGTACCAGGCGTCGTCGAGTTCGCTGGCGGCGGCGCTTGCATTTTACCATGTGGTACGCCAGGCATCATTTGCTTTTTCATCATCCCAGGCGGCGGAGGTCCTTTTATAAGCTTTGCTCCAGGAGGCAGTGGAGAACCCTTCATCATTATCTTCACGCCCGAGGGAGGTGGTCCGCTCATCAGCTTCGCCCCGGGCGGCAATAGTACTTTCTGCCCGTGGTGCTGCAGGGAATAAGAAGAGACACTTTCCCGTCCACTCATTGCAAATGAGTGCACAAGTTCTTGCGATGGAGACGTATTCATGGATTGCGAAGGCGGCATGCCTGGCTGATGCATAGAAGCTGCTTGCTGCGACTGTGTCATGGAATTTTGAAAGCCCCGTGGCGGTGGTGAAAAGGCGGGAAGGAGCGACGGCGACGAAGTTTTCATTGGCGCGGACTGAATTGCTGAAAAGGAGGGAACGGGTGTGGCAACTCCTGGAGGTGTCAGCTGCCGAGATGAGCGACGGGAACCTACCGTCAGCGGTGTTTCGGTATAGCCCCTTTCAGCCCCTGTCGCCAATGACGAGGTGGTGGTGGTGGTGGCGTCGCCCTTCTTCTGTTTTTTGCGAAAAAAAAACGAGTTCATTTCCCCGCCTCCTCCTCTCTCCCTTTCTCTGCAACTAAAACATAAGGCACATTGCAGCAAGGCGCAAATGAAAAAAAAAAAAAAAAAAAAAATTGAAGGAATAAATCAAAGAAATACACACAAATACAGAAACAGAAAAAAAATAATAATAATAATTACAATTCAACAGATGATGTTTGTAAGGAAGACAGTCGCGATAAAGTGGATTCACCCTTTCCGCATTTGTGATGAATTTTCTACGGCCTCCCCCTCAGTCAAATCAATTTTCATCCTCGACAAGTGGCTCTTCCTCAAAAGTGCTGATGCCTTCAATGTGGGACAAATGTTCATTGAAGAGATTCTGCATTGTTGCCGAGTTTTTCGTCTGTTGAATTGTCTCGGACATTCTTCCCATCGCCCCAATGTGCTGCGACAACGGCGTCTGTCGATGCACAGCGGAGGCTCTGGCGCTCTCTCCCCATGCACAATGCTCCGTCAGGTGTGTCAGGTGCATCCCATGGAGATTTTCATCCGCAGCAGCACCAATGAGGAGCGGCATTGTGCGTCTACCATTTACTCGCATGAACTCCTCACGAATAAAGTTGTAATCAAGCTTCTCCTTGGTCACCTGCGTCGCGGCCCACAGAGTCCCGTGGCAGCGCATCAGCTGGTGGAACATCATCCCCTGTGCAAACCGTCTAGCACAAATGTCGTTCATCCTAATTTTAACCCCTTCCTATTCGCCTATCAAATAATTTGTAGAAAAAAGGAAGAAAGGTGGGCAATAAAAGAAATTCTATAAAAAACCATGAAGAAGAAAACAAACACAAATGACATTAAATCCCCCTTCCCCCTCACCCCT